GCTTTGTTGCAACCATTTAAGTGCATTTGACATTCGCGTACTGTCACTGTGCTGTTGACAGTTCGTTTTAATGTCACGTCTGAAAAGCAGACACGCTGCTCAAGACGAGAGTTCTGGAAGTGTGTTCGAGTGAGTGGGCGACGTCTTGAAAGATTTTCGGTGATATTTATAATTTCTGACAGCAAGAAATGGATCATCAGATGATTGGCTTTGATCTGTCGCGATCAATAGTCTCTCATTTCCAGAAATGTCAAACAAGCGAATGCAATTTCTTTCTTCGGAATATATATGTTCGAATATCGTTTGATCGAATGCCGAAATGAATGCTCAATTGACGATGATAACAGTGTGCACCTAAAAACTTCATCGCTTGATTTCGATCAAGGATAAGAATTTGTGGGATTTGATTAAGTTGGTATTTCAGCGAGAAACAGTCTTCGACTGGAGTTGCGGTGGATGGTTCGGCATTGCCTTCATCGAATATGACGCCATCGTTTTCATCACCAGGTCAGCGAATACTGTTGAGCCTTTTTAGCAACACTGCTTACAAATAACAGATCAACATCTTGTAAGCACAACAATAGATTGAAAACAGAGTAATAATTAGATATGATAATTCATGGATTCATAACTGAACAGTATCTCATTAGTAACAACACGTGAATGAGGAGCTAGTCGAGAATTCTGAAATGAATTATGTTCTTTTGATTTAAATACATCCTTCGAATAAGATTCCTAACAATTAGGCATGAGCAACATGCGAATCATGAGAAAGAGCGAAGCTAACAAATAACGGCTGAAGATTTGAAAACATTGAAAAATTCATCGTTTACATTCTAGAAAAGACGCCATCGGAAAGAACACGGAGACCAAACGTTGAGCCACCGTTACTAAAGGGACCTTTGGTTTGGCGCTATATTGGAGTGAAAACAAGAAGTGAAGCTGAGGAGGCTGTAAAACCTCCAACTGAATTTCGATTGTATCACCAATGGGAGCAAACGGTTCTTGTTCGTGGAATTTTCAATTGTGATCAATTTTGGCCGTTAATAACGAAGCAACGGCTGAAGTTGATTTCATCAATATCATAAATTCGGCACAATATAATGAGCTGTTCTCAGCGAGCATCATGTAGGCAATGAACATGACCGAAAATCTCGCGACTTGTTGCAAAACAACAGTTTCCTACAGGTTTTTGATGGAAACATCATTTTGCTCTCGCATGCAATGCTAAACTCGCAAGGCGCTTTTTTGGTAGAAATATTGTGAAGCTGAATAAATGTTGAATTGCCGGGCAG